ACCCTTCTTCAGAAAATTTTCTGATTTTCTGAAGAAGGGTCTAGACCTGAAACATCAGCTTTCCTGCTCGTCTGATGCTGCTTGGCCTGCTGTGTTCATCCAGCTCTACACCTTGTTATCTCAGATTCTCCAGCATCGGCAGTTCCTACTATCTCCACGACCAATATTTACTTGTCTCAATACACTTAGACAATAAGGGTTCGACTGGGACAAAGTGACCATATTGGGACAAGCGAGCAATAGACATGCAAGGGATTTTCTGGAAGCCTGGTTCTCAACACAGGACTCCTCCATTAACAAACACGTAGAAATAGACTCCGTATACTGACCACTGCTTTAAAAAAAACACAGAACCGGAAGTGACCAGACCATCACACCAGCGGATCATATAAATTCAGAACGGGAGCAGAACACCAACGCTTCAATTAGAAGTTGCACTGATGATGTTGTCTAGAAGGGTAACAATGCGTCTGCACACCACAGAACAACCCGTTCATGAACTGACAGACATCTGCCTCTCAGAATCTTATCATAGAATCCCTACGTTGTGGAAGCAGGCCATTCGGACCATCCGGTCCACACCAACCCTCCAAAAACCCTCCCACCCAGACCCACCCTATCACTGAGACCCCCCCATGTCTCCTGATAAAGAAATCCCTCAACATCCAGGATCAACCTAGTGAATGTTCTCTGGACTGCCTCAAAGCTTTCTAACCCACTATCGAAGTCGTTACTAAGTCTGTGAGTATCTGGCATATCAAAATCGATGTGGGACACCATTTGGCATGTTTTGTAAATTAAACTACCTCAGTATTATCCCAACACTGTCTCCTGTTTCCCAGTGAGTTTCCTAATAGGCCAAGACCATCACGTACTTTAGATGATGTCTCTTATGGGGAACTTTATTTGTCTGGACTACCAGAAGGCATTTAATAACATCCATAGACTCTCCCTTGTCTACTACGTTAGTCACCTTGTCAAACAATTCCATCTGATATGTTGGGTGTGACCTCCCCTTTACAGACCCTGTTAGCCCCCACTGATCAGCTGAAAGTTTCAAGATGTTCGTTTATTTCGTCCTATCTGTGGATGTCACATTCATCTCTGTGGCTCCATGCTGGGTAAGGGGAAGGAGATGTTGACAGACCCTCTAGCGTGCTGCCCGCAGGCTGTTTTTTACGTGAAAATATTGGGCTCCTGCCTCAGCAAGGTGCCTGACCATTATTGGGGAGATCCCAGTGATGGGCCTAACAGGTCACTGCTGCTGCCAGGGACATGGCCTCTGCCCTGCTCTCCCCACCATGAACAAGATTACTCGGAAAGAATCTACTTTTGCTCCCTGTTCTGCTTCCGGACCCAACGCCATGCGACTGGTATTGCTTGGTCCAGTGGGTTCATATTCACTGTAGGTTCCGAGCTGATGGTGAAGAGTCGGTCTGAAAGCTGAGTTTAAAGTGTGTGAGTAGTACATATCTCGAGGTCAGCTGCCTCCTGGGATGCAATAATACAGTTATGCTATCCTCTGTGTCTCAGGTGTCACCCAAATGCCTGAAAAGGTGTGCACTAACCCAGATGCTGCTGTCACTGTCTCACCCGTCAGACCGAAGGAATCCCAGGTGCCGGAACTTCTCGCACACGTCCCTCTGGAAAACTTCCTGCAGGCTTTACATTCAGAAGCTCTGAGCAGCACATCGTCTACAGGTAAGCCCTGCATCATTGTGATAGCGGCTGGTATTGTTGCATTGGCAATATGGAGATTCTTCTGGGGCTCACTTCAAGCTAAAAGCTTGATGGTTGATTTTAAACTGATTTCAGCATGCACGTCCCCTCTTTACACATTGGAGCATTGGGATTTAGTGAATGTTAGGGATCTGAGTTCCACAGGCAAGTTTAGAGTTCCTAGAAATGCCAATGGCAGCTTCTTTGTTACTCTAACTAGAATGTTTTTAAAATTCTGGGCTGCATTATTTTGGTGAAAGATCAGTAACCAAAGAGTTATATGGAATGTCCATTTGAGCCGAGGAACGCCAATCGGAATAGAGGTATAAAGATTATTCTAAAGGAAGTGAGTGGCTTCCAAATAGCTGGAATCAGTGTTGGCAGAAAATGGAAGTATGGAAATGGAAATTCAGCAAGAGATTAGCTCTGGTTGGAGTAATTGGAAGAATGTTGTACAGTGTTACGTGTCACGTATCGCTGAAACTGTAAGGGAGAATATACAAGACAGTGGGAGACTGGCCATGTTACACAGTGCAGAAACTTCGAGAAAGGGGTAACAGCTGGCTTCTGAAGAGATGCAGACATAGAACTGGATGTGTGGAGTGAGAAGAACAGGAGGAAATCAGGAACCAGCACATCAGAGGGTTAATGAAGAACTGACAGGAGATACAGAAGGGAGATTAACCAACCCCCATGTAGCAGCAACTTGTATAGTGGGGAATAAACTGAGAGCGGTGGCAGTTGTTTCAGTGAAAGTTAAAGAACAGAATCTCAGTGAGCGCTCTAAACTCAACCTGTTTAAAAGTTTGATTTAAGCAAATAATTGTGGGAGTTACTCCACAAGCCTGGATGCATTGAAAAGCTGTACACTGAGCACCCAAATGTTCATTAGAGACAATTTTTAAAGTATAGCAGTCGTTGACAGATAGTGGCAACAGGTTCTGGAATACAGCGCTGGAGTTCCTGATGGAAGAGGTTCTGAGAAGGAGAGATGTCCTACACCCGTGGGAGAGGAGGTCAAAAATCACACGACACCAGGTTATGTCGTGTAATTTTTGACCTTGTCCAACACCGGCACCTCTGCACTGTGGGAGAGAAGGACATAACTTCTTCCTCCTCTCCCTCTCTTCATCTCGACCTGCACCTTAGGCAGACCCTGAGTTTGACCCTATGTACAACTGCTTGTTGTAATTAGATGAATTGCTGCAATTAATTTTGAGCCTTCCTGTCCCTTGTTGTGATCTCTGTGGAGACCAATAACTTTTTAAAACAGAACTACTTCCCAGAGAACCAATTAATACAAATCAAAGGACAAGATTTAACTTTTCAAGACTTCTACTGTCACAGGGAAACTGAGATAACAAAGAGCAAACATTAAAGAGCTATGTGATACATCAAAACAAAGAAAACGATGCATTTTTGAATTCACTAACTGACAAGCTGAAATATATCTTTTGTAACACATTGGCACAATCCCACACTTTTCCTGATCTATAGCATTGCAGGAACAACTCCGTAGCCACTCTCATCTCACCAGGAGAGGTCCGATTCTCCCATCATGCCATGCTGATTATTTCCAATGTCCTTCAACAACTGTTCCGCTTATTCCATGTTTTCCCATATATAATTGCCATCAGCATGGCACACTATAAGCAAATCTCTATTGTTTAAATCTTCATGAGCCCCATCAGTTCTGTACCCTTTTTAAATGGAAACCAAACTCTTGGATCATGCTTCAGAGATTTTCTGAAGAAGGGTCTAGGCCTGAAACGTCAGCTTTCCTGCTCCTCTGCTGCTTGGCCTGCTGTGTTTATCCAGCTTTACACCTTGTTATCTTAGATCATGCTGCTTGGTCACTGATTCCATTTGCCCTACTTCATCCCAATACAAGCTTGTCTCCACACCTCAAACAACAATTGTTTTTTTTATTATGAGGTACTGTAAAAGGGAGTTAAAATTGCTGCCCCACCTCAATGGGTTTATGTTTGAATTTCTCTCCCCATGGCAACAGGGTCACATGGGCATGTTTTTGAGCTAAGGTGTTTACCTGGAATGCTCTGTTTTACTTTGAGTTAAAGTACATTTCAAAATGTAACAATCTTATAAGGTTCAGTGTTCATGGCAGCCTGTTTCCTCCAACAGCTGGCGATAGTAGGAACTGCAGATGCTGGAGAATCTGAGATAACAAGGTGTAGAGCTGGATGAACGCAGCAGGCCAAGCAGCATCAGAGGAGCAGGAAGGCTGACGTTTCGGGCCTAGACTCT